CTTGGTATGAGCAGCATCGGTATGCTCCTCACACTATTACTCCTACTGCCCAACTCTGCCCCCGCCGTGCGATCTAGTGCACTAATTAGATGCCCCATCTACAGGAAGAGACGTCTGGGAAGTTCTGCGTTGATTAAAAGCTCGCGAAAGCTCCGCTTTGCGGTTACCAAGGGTCGCAGATCTCAGGGCGGCCACTACTGGCAGCCGAGGGCCGGCGCTTTCGAAAGCGGAGCCTGCAGTCGGAATTCGCACAGGTGTCATTCACGTAAATGTCGCCAAGCCGTCCTGCGCTCTGCGCAGCCATCCTACGAGGTCGTTCAGTTTGTCCTGGTCATGGAGAGAGCGCGAGACGAGAGTGCGAGCAAGCCAGCCGCGGGCGCAGTGCCAGAATGTATGTCTGCCACAGATTGCCTGTTTTGGTAAGAAGGTTCGAGCCGCCACGATGTAATGCGCGGCGGCGCGAGACGGACGAGACGAGGCGCGCGGCGGTCGCTCAGAGGGTCAAAGAGTGAGATTAGGCGTGAGGGCCGCGTAGTACTGGCGTTGCGAAGACAAGGAGCGCGTCGAGGACGCGCGACGGACGTGTACAGTACGATTATGTAAGCGAAGTAATGGCGCGCGAAGCGCCCATTACAGTACCCCCCTCTTAAGGGCGAGCGTAGCGAGACCCTAGCGAAGGATGAGCGGGAGAGGAAAAAAAATATCGAAAAATCAGGGAGCGGAGGGGATGTTGTGGAGGCCTCAATCCAAATGATGGCGAGGGGTTGGCTCGAGTGAAATAAACAAGTACGAACCGAGGGGCAATGAACTATGGCAAGGACGGGAAAGGACAAGGTAGTGCCGACCGAAGCCGTTTAGCACCATTATGCGAGAGTGGGACGAGGCAGTGCCGACCGAAGCCGTTGAGCACCATGACTATAGTGGGGAGAGGCGTTAGACCAAAGTCTATGTGCACGAGGTAGGACGAGATGAGACGAGACGAGACGAGATGACTCTGACCGAAAGCCATTAAGAGTCCTATAGTAAGGGAGGAAGGGCCACGCTGTAATGACAGCGGGAGAGTGAGCGTGTGGATGGGAGGCGGGAGACCGAGAGAGGGACATGAGGTTAGATTAAACGAGAGGAATTAATAAAACAAGTAAAATGAAACAGAGGACGTAGCGAGGAGGCACTAAGCCTTGGGAGCAGGAGCGGAGCGGAGGGCGTTCTGCTGAGCGCGGCGCTGCAAATCGCGAAGACGAGCGGTCGACGATTTGTTGGGGCAGTTGTCGGCATTGTGGTTCTCTCCACCGCAGTAACGGCAGAGGTTGAGGTCGATGCGGCGCTGCAGTTCTTCAGGTGAGATCTGCGAGGGGAGGCGCTGCTGGCGGAGGGCGTCAATCTCCATCGGCACAACATCCGAGGAGACCGAGGCGATGGGAGCGGGAGCGGCAGGTGGAGGCGGAGCGACGGCAGTGGGTGCGGGAGCATAGGCGGGGTAGGGCCATGGCTGCGAAGAGGGAGCGGGAGAGGAAGGAGCGGAAGGGGCGAAGGTCTGGCGCTGGACTTGAAGTTCCTTCTGAGCGCGGTACTGCTCGTGGTCGAACTTGATGGCGATGCTTGCGTAGCTGTCGAAGTCGGTGGGCTGGTCCAGGATGGTGACCATAAGGTTGCGGATGATGGGCTTGAGACCGGCCTTGAACATGTCGATCTTGGTCGCTTCAGTGAGCTCAACATACGGGAGCTGCTCACGGAAGGCGGCAACGTAGGTGGCGCAGGAGGAGGTCTGGCGGAGTGACTTGAGCTTGTCGAGCGCAGCGGCAGAGACGTGAGGGTCGCCGAAGTGGGAGATGAACGCGTCTTTGAAAGACGCGAAGGAGGTGAGGAGGTGGGCCATAGTCGGACTGTCACGGATACCGAGCCACCAGGACTTGGCGTTGCCGTCGGCGAAGTAGCCGGAGGTCCACAGGATCTTCTCCTGGTCTTCAATGAGCGAGTTGCGCTGGAGGTACAGACCAGCCTCAACCTCCGAGAGGAAGAGCTTGACTTGGTCTGCCCTGCCGTTGAACTTGCGCGGCTCAGCGAACTTGGGGACAGGTCGAGGAGCGGATGGGGAGGCGGATGACGTCGGTGCCGAAGCGGCCGTGTAGCGGACAACCGGGACGGTGGAGAGCGCTTCGAAACGGGCCGTCATGGAAGCGAGCATGCTGGTGATAGCTTGCTGCTGGTCGGTCAATTGAGAAATTGCCGTCCAGAGGGCAAGGCGCTCGGAGTTGGCATCGAAGGCGGCGGCAGGGGTAGAGGAACCGGGCGGATGTGGGGCAGATCGCGAGGGCGTGTCTTGAGGAGGCGGCTGAGAGGGCGGATTGACGTACTGTGAACCGGCACTGTCTCCCCATACACCCTGTTCCTCCGCAGAAAACCCATCCATCCTAAGCGTGGGAGCGGGGCGAGCGCGAACACGGAAAATTGATGTGTTCGGAAGCGAGCGAACGCGACCGTCGAATTTTGTTGTGGTCTTCGCAAACTGTAATGCGCGGCGGCGCGAGACGGACGAGACGAGGCGCGCGGCGGTCGCTCAGAGGGTCAAAGAGTGAGATTAGGCGTGAGGGCCGCGTAGTACTGGCGTTGCGAAGACAAGGAGCGCGTCGAGGACGCGCGACGGACGTGTACAGTACGATTATGTAAGCGAAGTAATGGCGCGCGAAGCGCCCATTACA